AGCTGAACATATTCTCAAAAGAAAATTCTTTGCTGAAATTATATATTACAGATTTCGTGGTACCCTTGCACTACAATTTAACAGCATGTTGTTATTATTTAGCATTTAATGAGTACCAGAAATTGTGCCGTGTATTCTCCACTTGGTTTGGCAACAATGAAATAAATGGCCTAGTTAGACTGCCTGGTAGAAGGGGATCGATCCTCCTGGTACTGACCACCCCTAAGGCTGATAAATGGGGGATTCTTAATGAAAATATCCTCCACAGAAAATATGCTTTTCCTTCCTCATCTTACAATGCCTTTCCACAAACTCCTCAGTTAGGAACACTCAGGAGTCACGCAGGACCTGAAGTCCTATCCAATATCCCCAAATAGAAAGGAACAATTTGCATTGATTTCTGTTCTATAAATATTGTTAATTACTAATTCTGATTACTGGCCTTTGTTTCTTAGAGGAAGTTACTAAGAGAAGACCTCAGTCAAATGTTTTCTTCCCTGTTAGTGAAGCCTCCAGCACTTTTCTGAACACGCTTGTTCAGCTGATAATGGGAGGAGGGGGGGGTCCTGCTGTGACCATGAAGGATTTTTGAATAAACAAACATAAATCCCCCAAAACCATGAATAAAATAGGGGAGAGGGAAGTTTACTGCAATTAGGTAATTTATATACATATTCTATATCAAAATTACTGCTCATAAAATTTTTACTGGTCCCTCTTCAGACTTATAAAATAAAATGATGCATTTTATAGTTGTAGCACCAACAGCTAAAGAGGCATTTGAAAACTAGTGCTGGAGCATAGTTTCAATTTTTCTTAAAAACAAAAAAAAAATACAAGCAAACAAAACTGACTTGCCTATAGACTAATTCATTTCAGGCGCAGCTTAATTTCTTTCAGATTTGGGCTTATAAGCCCTGGCTAATTCGCCTGGTGCAATTATCTGTTCTGTTGGCAGCTGTACAGCTCAAGAATCTTTTAAACAGTTGAAAAGCATCTTACTTCCCACATTTGAACAAGTAGATAAGGTACAAATAATAACACCGAATATAAATCCAGTTGTGAGAAAGTTGCTGTAACTCGGAGATTTAATCTCAAAACCTACTTTGTACCCATTACAGCCATCTGTTTGATATTTAGGTAAACCTGTCAGCGGCAGAGGGCCTGGGAGTTATTGAGGAGGGTTAGACCAGGAACAGAAACAGAGCTTTGAATCCCCAGCCCACAAATGTGCTTTCTTTAGGCAGCATCATGATTTAACCATTTTGAATGCGAATGTTTTTAGTTGGGGCACTAGTCTCCAGTTCACCATGACCATTCCCTATTGTCATATGCCCATCTGCCTGATGTGTTTATGTCATTGTTCTGGCCCCAACAGATAACTGAGCTTACAGTCCCTGATATGTCCCTTATACATATATTTATGCTGTCGTTTCTGCTCTTTAGGAGGTGTTTACAATGAAAGGAATCCAATCCAGAGGTCAGAATCTTTTGGGTATGAACGTAATCTATTTATCAGATACCATGTGAGCATTTTGACTTGCATGCCCATGATTAATCTCCATGGTAACTCCATGAGATGGCTATTGTTATTACCTATCCCCATTTATTGGATGGGGCAAGTGAGACTTAAAAACATACATTATTTGCCCAAGGTTACACCCTTAGGAATGACAGACAAAGGATTTGAACCCACACTTCCTTCCCATCAAACCATTTGATCACATGGCCCAGAGCTCAAGACAGGAAGTATAAAGTTATCATATTCTAGACCTATATATTTCCTCTCTACCTTCGATAATGTTCCTTCTGTCAAAGGCCACCAGCATCTTTAAGAAGCCTAGATTTCATGATTCAACACTTAAAATGATCTTTGCAAATATCCTTGACTCCCTTGCCTCTTTACCTTTCATTGCAACCTCTTGGAAAATGCCAATTTTTCATCTGGGTCAAACATCCATTACCTTCTCTTTTCCCTATACCTTCAACCTCCCCTTAATTATTAGACGTATTTCCTTAGATATCAACAAAAGACCCTTCCTTACCCTAGGTTCCTCTGGCTTTCACCTGCATCTTGCTTTTCACAACCCTTTACAACCAAGCTTCTGCAAAAAAAAAAAAAAAAAAAAAGCCCTATTTTGGCTACCTCCTCATCCCAGCTTCCCATTACTCCTCAGCCTCCTGTAATCTGACTTCTGATCCCACCCCTACAACAAAACCAGTATCTCAAATACTAAGGAGCTGCTAGTTGCTAAATTGAGTGGGCATTTTTCAGTGCTTCCTCTTTAGTATCCAACACTGTTGAATACTTTCCTCTTCCCAAAATGTTCTCTTCTCTTGCTTTCAATGACATAACATTCCTTTTTCTCTCCCAGTCCTCTTTTTCAGCCTCTTTTGCTGCCCCTCCCTGATCCACCTCCAACCACCAGTATTAGGACATCAGCTTCAATCTTCTCGAATGACGTGGTCACTTTCTGGGAAAAAAGTCCTTGATGACTCTCAAATCCATATTTTCACCCATAGCTTTCTCTTAAACTCCATCCAACTACCTGGTGAAGTCTCACAGGCACTTGAAATATAGCTTGTCCCCAACTCTTTATTTCCTCCTCTTCCTCATTCTCATTTATTTCACTTGTCCAGGTGAATACCTGCACCATATACCCACCCAATTGCCCAATCTTGAGTCATTTCTTCTTCACTAGTGAAAAAGCCACTAACATCTTTTTAAAAAATACTTTCCTCTCTTCTTCTCCATCCCCGACATTGCTGCACCGGTTCACATCCCATTCTTTTTTGTTTGTTTTTCTTATTATGTATAGATAGTTCTATGAGTTTTGACAAAATGCATATAGTGTATAACCACAATCAAAATATGAGACATTTCTATCACCTTTCCAAAAAAACTCTCCCATGCTCATCTGCAGTCAACCCCTTTCCCTCCCCCCAGCCCCTGGAAACCACTGATCTGTTTTCTATCCCGATAGTTTTTCTTTTTCCAGAGTGTCACATATATGGAATTACAAAGTGCGTACGCTTTGAATTTGGCATCTTTCACTCAGTATAATACACTGAAGATTTAACCATGCCATTGTGGGCATCTGTAATTCATTCCTTTTAATTGTATGGATGTACCAGTTTGTTTATCTGTTTGCTTGTTGAGGAACATTTACTTTGTTTCCAGTTTTTGGCAATTGTGAATAAAACCACTATAAACATTCATGTTTAGGTTTCTGCGTGAACATAGTTTTCATTTCACTTGGGTAAATACCTTGGAGTGGGATTGGTGGGTCGTATGTGCGTATGTATAACTTGATGATAAACTACAACACTGTTTTTCAAAGTGGCTGGTCCGTCATGCTTCCTTACCAGTGATGTTTGAGAGTGGTCTGCATCCATGTCAGCACTTGGCGTCGTCAGTCTTATTTTCTCATTTTTGGCTATTCTAAGAGGTGTGTAGTGGTACCTCATTGTGATTTTAATTTTCATATCATCAGTGATTAACGATATTGAGCATAGTTTTCATGTGCTTATGTGCCATCCATCTGCCCTCTTTGGTGAAGTGTTTGTTCAAGTCTTTAGGCCTTCCCCTGACCCTTTTTTCCAAATGGATTGTTTGCTTTTCTATTGGTTTTTAAGAGTTTTTAAGAAAGGACTTGTACACCCTTCCCCAGTGATAATACATCTTGCACAACTATAGCACAATATCACAGAGAATTGACATTGATGCGATCTGTGAATCCTTTTTGACTTTTGCCAGTTTTACATACATTCATCTGTGTGTGTTTATATATATATTTCTTTTGTTCTTTGCAGTGCTATCTATCATGTGTAGATTTCTGTGACCACACCAAAGTCAAGATACAGAACAGTCCATCACGAGGATTTCTTTTATAACCATACCCTCTACACCTCCCTGGCAACCACTAATCTTCTCTCCATCTCTATAATTTTGTCATTTCCAGAGTATTATATAAATAGAATCATACAGAATTTAACTTTTGAGTCTGGCTTCTTTCACACAATGTAATTCTCTAGAAATTCCTCCAAGTTGTTACATGTATCAATAGTTCTTCCTTTTTTCATTGCTGAGTAGTATTCCACAGTTTGTTTAACCATTGGTTGGCTGAAGGACATCTGGGTTGTTTCCAGTTTGGGGCTATTACAAATAAAGGTACTATAAACACTTATGCACAGGCTTTTTGTGTGTGTGAACACAAGTTTTCATGTCTCTGGGATAAATGCCCAAGACTGCGATTGCCAAATCCTATTCCTCTGGGATAAATGCCAAGAGCGCCAAAGCGTTTTGCAGAGCGGCTGTATCGCTCACATAGAGTGTATGTTTTACATTACACATTCCCACCTTTCCTCCGCATCCGTGTCAGCTCTGGCGTTGTCACTATTTTTCATTCTAGTCATTCTGATAGGTGTACAGTGACATACCATTGTGGTTTCGATTTATATTTCCCTGGTGGGTAATGATGTTGACCGTCTTTTCATGCGCTGACAGTATTTAAGGAGCCCATCCTTTCTTGACATGACCATTGCATGGGAAAGTCCCCAGCCTCGCCTCTTCCAAAACAGAGCCAGACAGAACCCCACGTCTACTCCGGCCGCAGCACAGCTCTTATCCCAAGGTTATGATCTCCCGTTGAAAATCTGCCTCCTGCATCAGGCCCTGCTCTCCAAACGGCCGGGCGGTTCTGCTCAGCTCAGAGTCCCCAGCCAGGACACTGAGCATCACAACGTACCATTTCTTTAATGAATAGATAATCACAGGCAGAATGACTTCGGTGCTAAAAAAGGAAAGGTAAGCGCACAGAGAAAGAATGGGTGAAGGAACGGGACAAGGCTTGGTGGTTGCCAGCCCTTAAGCCACCCGAGTCCAGGCCTGATCCGGCGCTAGACCCGGAGCCCAGAACCTTGCTCACGCGCATGCGTAGCGCCCCCCCCCCGCTCGGTCCCGCCCCAACCCCGCCCCTCCTCCGCTCCCTTGGGGCCGCCCCCTCAGCCCGTGACCAATTAGGGCTGGGAGGCGGGGTCTTGAGTGCCGCGGTGCTCCTTGGGTAGCGTCCCTAGTTACTGTTGCTAAAGCCGCGGGTCGCCAGAGGTGGTGGGAGTTCAGAAGTTTTGGGAGCCGCGGCCTGAGCGAGGTCAAGGGTCAGTGCAGAGCGAGGGAGGAGATGGTGAGGCAGACGATCCAGATATTCGCGAGGGTGAAGCCCCCTGTCCGGAAGCAGCAACCCGGGGTACGGGCCGGGGCAGCCGGGGCGCCGGCGCGGCGGGGCGTCGGGGCCGGGCCGGGGCGGCGGCACGTGAGGGGCCGGGCCGGGGTGAGGGGCTCGGCGGCGGGCGAGGGGCGGCTCGGAATCCCGCACACGGCGATCGCCGCGCCCCGCGGCCACGCGGACACCCTCGCGGCGCCGTCGGGGATGCGACCCTGGCAGGCAGGCCGCTCCCACCCGGCACAGTCCCGTGGGCGCAGGCAGACCTGCGCGGGGCCGCCCTCGCGCCCCGGCACTCGTGCCCGGCAGGGGCGGACCCGTGCGCGTACGGCAGGCCTGTTTGCACGCTCGCGTAGGCCTTCCTGCGCCTTTCTGGGAAACCGCCACGCAGTTCTGCGTACGCAGGTACACTCAACGTACAGTCTCACACTTGGGCCAACCGTGTGCACGCAACAGATGCGTGTTTATACGAGTCCGAAATGATAGAGATGCACAAAACATTCACATATTCAGTATTTTGCACGCAGGGGGTCCTCAGGAATTTTTACTCTAGCTACATTGTCATTCTGCAACATGAACATGAACCTTGACATATACTCATCGCAGAAATAGATATTTGTGCATCCTGACCCAAAGAATACTCATGTACACTTAATTCAGAAAACACTAATTGAGCATTTACTAGGTGCTTCCCTAGTGTGCTAAATTCAGAAGGGTAGAGAGTAGGTTAAGGCATTGCCTTTGCTCTGAGCAAAGATACTTTGTATGCTTCTTAAATGTTTCAAAACATTGTTCTCTCTCCCTAGAAGGGAGCATAGTCATTCTTACCATGTCTTGAGAAATCCCCACCCGACAGGCACTTTATCTGCATTATCTCTGATTCTCACAAGAACTGCGCAAGGTTGGTGGCATTTTCTTCATTTTACAGGTGAGGAAACTGAGGCTCAGGTTAAATTATGTAGGCAAGGCACTCAGCTAGTGAGTGGCAGAACTGTGATTTCAATGAAGGATCCTTGAATCCAAAGCTATTCTCCTTTTCTGACAAACCCTTTTTGCCTCCCAAAGTGATAATTTAGGTAAGGCAATTTGGGTCATATTCATGAGCGCCTGGAATGGGTATATTATTAATATTAACAGTTTATCTCAATCCCATATCTATACTGTGTATGTGTATATGTGTAACATCATAGCATCTCATAATTTAGTGTTTACCTTATGTAGTTTATGTATTTAAAACAAGGACTAAGGTAGTGTGGAAAGAACCGTGAGTCTTTTCCTATTTTCTCTTCCTCTTGCAATCATACAAAGATTTTTAAAAGTGCATCATATGTAAAAAGTATATTATATGTAATGCATCTACCCAGATTCTTAGCTAAGAATATTGGGCTTATCTGCACAGATTCAGAAGTCAGAAGCAGATACTAGGTTATGGTAAAGTGAAAGGACGGGTAGGGGAAGGCGAGAGGAGGGGTGTTGATGGACAGTCTTGGATTTAATGTTGAACTTTCTCTTCTCTAAAATGCAGTGTTTGGATATTTTAGTGTCCTTTTGCATTTATTTGATGAGTCTTATGGGTCCTCCAGTATTTTAGGTGTCACACTGTATTTTGATCATGTTAGATACTTACCGAGAATGTAACATTATGCCACATACACGAAAGAAGGGAACAGGAATGAATAGCGAGTTAGTGTATCCCTGTTTTCCCTTAGAAACACCATGTTTTTTTTTTAGCACCATATCTTTTCCCCTCCTCAGAAAAAATTGTAGTTTTTTTCTCTGACTGAAAGGAAATGCTTTTTGTACCATTAAATTAAGAGTTGACTCAAAGGTATTTTTTTTCTTTTCCCTTCATTTTGTAGCTGCATTACTTTATAAATCTTATCACCTAAGGCGTTATAAATTAGATTATAATATATAGGTTAATAAAGAAGACACATAAAATGCACCTCCCTAATAATTTTAACAATGGTAAATGCTCTTCATTTGCATAGTGCTTTGTATATTTCAAAACATTTTCGTATTCTTCCTTCCATTTGTTTTGGCTGTTTTCTATTCTTAAAGAAATGACTACCTTATCTCAAATAATAAATACTTCTATGATGAATGGTAGAAAGCTAGTATGTTAAACTAACCAAGTTTTCTGACTCTAAGGGACTTTTTTAATGCCTCAAAATGGCTTAATGGCTTTAATGCCTTAAAATGGCTTTAATGCCTCAGAATGGCTTAATCACAGTTGTGAAGAATCATTGTTTCTACTGCAGTCAACTTTCTTTTCCGTCTGCTGAGCACTGAGAGATACAGATTAAAAAAAAAGTTTGAAATTTCAAACTCCTCTGTGTCTCATGTCTCACACACCCCTTTCACTCACCTGTCTAGCTATTAAACTTTTTTTTAATGTAGTACCCTATGGAATATAATTTTTAAATGTCTCTTGAGAAAACATAGCCAGGAAGCCTTGAGCCTGATGCCATTACTTTCTACAAAGATTTTGTTTTGCAGAATGACTTTTCTACATGACATCTTCACATTTTAAATGAGAGGTTTCAATAAAAATGTACTTAGGAAATTATTCAAGCTTTCTGGAGATTTGGATAGGCATTTTACTTGCTTAGGAATATGACCTTTTCCCCCCATAATCAAGCATCTAATGGGTCTTAGGAAGTATTGCCTGTTAGAAAGAATTTTATTTCCTGGTGAAAGACAAGAAGTCTTTTTTAAAAACCTCTAAATCTAATGACTAACATTTTTTATGGTGCATTACAAAATACTTCCACTTCCATTACATCACTTGATCCCCACAGCAATCTTGTAAGAGAGCTAATTCTGTTTTCCTCATTTTATGTATAAAGAACCTTGATTCTGAAAGTGTTGGCTGGTCACACAGCTGGTAAATTGAACTCAGTGTTGGACCCAAGTCTGGACACCAAATCTTATGCTTTTATTTATTACATATGACCTTTTTATAGGTTTGACTCTTGATTTTCCTGTCCAATAAATGAAGGAGTAGGAAACCAAGAAGAGAATCAGAATGTTACAGTTGTAAGGGCATTGGTTAGGATCTTCCATTTCCATATCTGCTTAGAGAGGCTAAGTGATTTCTCCTTGGTTACTTGCTAATTAGTAGCTGAACTGGGATGAGAACTTTGACAACAACATCAAAGACGTGAATTACATGTGTCTTTTGAAACCATATGTCTTTTATCAGATGCCTGAATATGTCTCATAGAACCTTGGGCTTCTTTGAACGTAACTTGAATTAGAGCATTCTTGTGAGCTCTCTGAGATGTGTCAGACCTAGTTCTTTCATCTCTGTGTCTTAGTAGTTTGTAAACTCAATAAACTCAGAAATATTTATTGGTTGTAGTACCAAAGCAAGACTAGATAATATTTTGCATTCAGTACTATTAGTTTCTCACTGACAACAACAGAGGCACTCAAATGCTCAAATTTGAATATTAAATCATTCAAAGGTGACCTGGCTTTGATACAGTATTAATTTGGGTTTTAGTTCTTGTTCAGTTGCATATATTTGTCTGAGTCCACACACAGTTCAAAGAGGAAAATTATCCAAATTATACTACATCATGACTTTTTATCTTAAAAGTACAATTTTAATCCCATTGTATAACATGGTCATAATTACATCTGTAATTTTACCATTTATGTCCATTTGCTATATTCATATTTGCAGATTTATTCCATAGATGAAGATGAAAAAGTAACATCTAGCTTGGAAATTATCTTACCACGTGATTTGGCAGATGGATTTGTGAATAATAAGCGAGAAAGCTACAGATTTAAGTAAGTTTATCTTTCTTGTTTTTCATTTCTGTTTTATCACTGAACTGTAATATTCCATTAGTGTCCACTGTGAAATCATTAGTACCATTTCTTCTGAAGAATGCAATGCAGCTAGCTCTCTGTTTCATCTAGTAGATAGAACTCAAGTTGTCTTTTTACTGCTGTGCCCAAGATCAAAAGAGTGTATACTTTTGTATCTGAGATCTTATTTCAAGATTCTAGCCTTTCTTTACTACCTGTTTATCTAGTGTTATCCTTTTCCTACTCGATCTACTGTGGTTTAGTACTTACAGGAAGTTTCAGTACATGACTAAACTTTATTAAAGATAACTTAAGATATACTTTGTGTACTGTACAGGTTAGCCTTCTTTATAACATAAATGACATATGGACCTGATATGCACATATGTAAACTCTGTATCTATGCAGTCCAAAAGAATGTAAAATATCTCAAAGATTTTTTTTCATATTGATTATTGATCAAAATCATACAATTTTGGATACATGAGGTTAAAGTGTATATTAAAATTAATTTCACCTGTTGCTTTTTACTTTTCTTAAAATGTGACTACTAGAATATTTTAAATAACATATCCTGTGACATTTATGGATTGTGCTATATTTCTCTTAAGCAGTGCCCAACTCAATGGTTCAAGTAAAAAGTACTAAAAAGCCACCTTGGACAGTCATCAGTGTCTTTGGTCTAAATGCTCTTCTAGTATGAAGGCCTTGAATTTGGGAATTATTGGTATTTCATACTGTATTTATTCTCCAGTTTCAGATTAAGCCATTTCTTTTAATCCCTACTTTTGATTTTTGGAGAAGTATGAGCTCAACTTAAATCCATATTTGATCTCTGGCCCAAACTTTGGTGATGGATTTCTGGGTTCTGCTGAAGGAATCCTAATTACTCTCTTGGGTTTCTCTCTGAATGGTTTACAAATGTCCTATTTTGAAACTATTCCTGTCTTTGCTCTTTGGGTAAAATTATCCCAGATTTTTTTTTATGGCTTTTTGCCTCTCTCTCTTTCTCTTTTTTCTTTTTAAATTCTTATTTGCTCTTATCTTTTTTTCTCATAAAGAATTTCCCTCGGTCTTCATAACTCTACCTTTTCTCTCTCACATATATGTCTTCTCTTTCCCTCCACCCATCTTCTTATTGTGTCTCTTTTTACAGTAAGTACAAGCAGAGATTGCTAACACATGGATGCACAGTGAAGTGGTCCTCACCTTGTTTTGTGACTCCTCATTGCCTTTCCTTCTATCCTTAGAGTAGCCCTATAATGCATGACTGACTTTTTCTAAAGGGGACGTTATCCCACTGAATAAGCATGCTGCAAACCTTAGTAGCTATGACATGACTGCGGCTCTCCTAGGCCAATCTTTATGAAGCAATAGTTGGGCTGAAACATTTTATTGAGCATGATATCATTTGATTGATAGGAACAATTGACTATGTCTCTATCACCCCTTCCCAAAGTATTCTTTACATTATGTAGATACACAGTGTATTTAAACCTATGCTTATTGGAAAAGCACAATTTGCTTATTTTTAAGTCTCTTAATTAAAAACATTGGTTTTGATATTTAAAATAAAAAAATGAATAAAATATTCAACTTAATCATATGTTCAGAGATGTATATTTAAACATTTTAAAGGCAATTTTACCCCAAGAAAATTTATTGACTACCCACTGTGTGCTGTTTTAATTGCTAGGAATACAGCAGGGAACGTAACAAGTTTCTTGCTCTTACACAGCTTACGTTTTACTGGGAGGAGATAGATAAAAGGATCAATATGCAAAATATATGTCAGAAGGTATTAAGTGCCATGAAGAAAAGTAAGGCAGAGAAGGGGAAAGAGGAGTTCTGGGATGAGGGGTAGCAAAGGAGAGGGATGGTTGCAACATTTAATAGGTTAGTCAGGGAAGGCATTATAGTAAAGGCAACATTTGAGCAAAGACTTGGTGGAGGTGAGGAAGGCAGCCATTCAAATATCTGGAGTGAGAATTCCAGGCCAATGGAATAGCAAGAGCAAAGTCCCTAACATAGGAGAATGCCTGGCGTGTTTAAGGAGACATGAGGGATTTCCGTGGCTGGAGTAGAGTAAGCAAGGAGGAGAGGGGAAGAAGACAGGGCATGGGGTAGCAGAGGGGCTAGATCACACGGAGCCTTATATTTCTTCGTGAGGGCGTTAGCTTTCCTCCAAAGTGCCATGAGAAGGCAATGGAGGGTTTGGAGCGGAAGGACGAAATTATATCACCATGTTTTAGCACGATCACTCTTGTTGACATGTGGAAAATAGACTGTAAGGGGACAAAGAAGACCAGCTAGGCTATTGCAAGGGAGACCAGGCAGGAAATTATGGTAGCTTGGCCCAGGGTGGTGGCAGTGGGAATGTTGAGAAATAACTGGATTCTGGATATATTTTGAAGGTTGGAGTTGACAGAGTTTGCTGATGGATTGGATACAGAGTGTAGTAGAAAAGGAGGAGACAAGGAGGCCCTAAGGGTTTGGACTAAACATTTAGAAGAATGGAGCTCTCACTTTCTAAAATGAAGAAGAGTGTAGAAGAACGGTTTGGGGTGGGAGGAGATGTGCACATGCTGAGTTTGAAATGGAGTTTAGAAAAAGTCTATACAACGCCCCAATAAATGAAAGGACCTCTTAGGAATCACGAAAGCTACATCTGTCTCAAGAAGTATCACTGATGAACTCTAGGACCATGAGTGACTACTTTATCTCTGTGAGCCTCAGCTTCTTTCTCTGTTCATGATTAGACTGAACCTGTTAAAATCCCTTCTAACTCTGTGATTCTATTTTGTTCTTCAGTGGTTTTCAGAAGAGAGCTGATCACAATCCCTTTTCAGATTACCATGCAACTACACTGTGTAAAATAAAATATTTTGAAATGATGATATTTGATGTTGAATATACAATTAATGATTTATTGTAAACTTTGGTACTAAAATTTTCATTTGAAAATATGTGGGGAAAAGCCAATAAACACAGAGGGATCTGGATTGCTTGTGGTTCTGTCATCTGTTACTGTAAATAGTGGAAGATGTCATTTTTCCCTGAGGAATCCAATGCGCTTTAGAGGTATTATGCTGAAATTACATTTTAGTCTAATTTAAACCTTGTTAGAGGTGCCTGATACGTGGTAGGCACTCAGTATGTGCTTGCGGAACGAATAGATCGATTAGTAAATGAAAATGCTGTAATTAATTTTACATAAGGTACCTTTCGGGATGCATTCTGTGTGTGTGATTCGTGCCTCCTTTAAAACTTGTGCTGTCTCTTTTGTTTATGTGGTAGTAGATATAATTCCTTTTACTTAATGAAGTGGGGTGGGGATGGCTAATTGATTCACCCAGTCATCACCAATCTGGTAAAAGAAGCAAACCAGCCTTATTATCGTCCTTCTCAAAAACATTGCTAAAAATCTGCGCTCAGACATCACTCTAGACGGTGGTCTGAAGAACAGTTCAGCAGCCGTGTGTATGTCAAGCTCTGGGTTATGTTAGTGTTCATGTCTAAAGCTGGGATGCACCTGTAGAGTTTGGAGGAGTGGTCTGGCACACTAAATGCTAAATATTGCTGTCTAAAATATAATATTGCCTGCTACATGGCATAGTAGCCAGAGTGCCTTAGAATATCTCTTTGTATAGTTGATTATTTGCTTCTCTAAAATGGAGATAGATCAGATATAGGGATCTTTTGAAGTTAATGTTGGTTAAGGATGATGAATTTCATTCCACTTTGTTTCCAGTCCAGCGCTAGATGTCCTTTCGAACCCCAGGTCAGTGAAAACGGTTTACTTACAATCTCTAACTTAATTGAACACGCACTCAGTTCACTTGCACAGGCAGGCACGCAGACCAAAGATTCCTAAGCCACTCTGAAAGCTGCTTCGGATGCCCTCAAAGCGTTTGTTTTAAAGTTTTTGCTTTACAGTGCCTTCCCCCTCCCAGTTTTTATTTTGAAAAAATTTAAATATACAGAAAAGGTAGAAGAGTAACTCAGTTAACACTCACATACTCTTTGTAGGAGATTTGCCTTTTTGTTAACATTTTGCCCAGTTTGCACGTTCACTCTCTCTCTCTTTAGCCTCGAGATGTTTTAATGGAGGCCATACTTGCTGGTTGCGACTTACCACCTGCTGTGGTAAGAACAGATTCTGTGTCTCCTACTCCAGGTACTCCACTGTGCTTGTGATTCTGTGCTAAGCTAAGTCAGAGTAGCATTGCGAGAAGAGTGAAATTGATACCATACCACCTCCCCACCTCCCTAGCCGTTGCCAATCTGATAAAAACTTCTCTTTGCAGGACAAGTCTATCTCAATTTACTTTTTGACTTTTTTTTTTTTTAGTGGTCTTCTTTGTTTTCTTGGATGCTTTATGACTTTTGGCTCATGGTTAAGAAAATGAAACAAAACAATCCAGAGAATTAAATGATTGATACTAGGGTGTACTACCTAGTTAGTAGAAAAATAAACTTGAGTTCAAAATATTAAAACTAAGTTCAATAGTCATACAATTCACAGTTGTATTCTTTTCTCACAGGTCAGACATCAGAAGTTCTTTGGCTGTTTACATCCTGTTCTTGGATTTCCATTTCATGCAGTTATCTAGATTTGAATTTCATGCCAATTGCAGACACTGCCCCTCTTGAGAGCTAAAAAACACACAGCTTATTATTTTGTTCAAAGCTGCTGCAGTTTTTCAGAGGGATTTATTGTGCAGATCTTTTCAAAGCAATACTGTTTACCCACCATTTGTATACAGGAGTACAAGAGCACAGTGTAGTTGGGACTACAGGGAAAACATTGTGTTAAGTTAGGTAAGCCCAGTGATGTAAATATTGGGTAATTGACAAAGCTTTTAGAAAAACAAGATTTATTAATCCAATAGTGTTTGAAGGCTCGACCTTTAAATATTTACCATTTTTCACATTGCAGATTTCAAAGGATTTTTGATCAGGATGCAAACCAAGAGACCATTTTTGAAAACATTGCCAAACCAGTTGCTGAAAGGTAGGATTTCCCATATTTTGTACAGTGGGTTAGTGGTTTTTCGTCTTGTCTTCAATTCTCAGATAATTGTGGTAATGTACTTTAGTATATCAATTATATACTGCGGCTGCAGGGCATGTAATGATGATAGCAGCACAGTACTTCAAACGTGGTTGGATGGAGAAAGGATAAGGTGTGAATGGCACCTGGGAGACCTAATGATGGTTGGCCCTTCTCTACCTCAGTGTCATTTCAAAGCTTGACCCTTAGTTTCTAGGTATCTTTGCTTCAGTATATCCACATAGTTCCAAGCTGCTGACCATTAGAACTAAACTCACATGAGAATACTGAACTAATAAGAATGCCAATTTACTAATAAGGGCAGTATTTGCAAAGTCTCCTAGGGACTAGACACTCAATCCCTTTGATAAGCACACTGTCCTCTTGTAGGGAATCTGTATAGGAAACTACTGCTAATAAGGTTGCTTTCTGATCTTGAAATCATTTAGATGATTTTTATGACCTAATATCCTAAGATATAGTCTAAATGAACCTAATTTTCAAGTCCACGAATCTGTATACCTTTTTTAATGGACATTTCTGGAAACACAGTGTCACATTTTGTCTCTCAAACTCGTGTTTTATGAATCCTACTCAAACCAAACCTTTCTCTTTTAATACAGTCTTCTTTCATTAGGTAAATTATAATCAAGTTGGCTTAAACTATTTTAATTATAATCCAATAACACCTCTCTGATTAAATTCATTTCACTTTGATTGGATGGTAAGTATTTCTAAACTGTCCTTCCTTTTAGTAATCATCTGGGTATGTCATTTTCCAGATAGCTGGTCTCGTGTGTTTTATTTTGAAACTTCATGAAACCATCTGGAAAGGGAGCCTCAGTTTCTATTTAATAGATGCCTAGGTTTTCTTCCCATTACTGATGCTCTTTCTCTCATCTCCATCCTACTTTCTCCTCCAGCTACTGCCCTTTTCCCCAGCTTTTCTTCATAGAAAATTTATGTGAAATGGTTGGCTTTATTCACTACTTCAGTTCCTCTCTTAAGCACTGTTCTTATCAGGGTTTTGGTCTCCACTGCTCCGTTAAAATTGTTTCTGTCAAAATCAGCTGTGACTTCTATTTGGTACATTTAATAACGGTCATTTCTCAGTCCTCACGATACTTGATATATCCCCTATGTTCACACAGTTAAGTACTCTGTCCTCCTCCAACCACTTTCTTCTCTTGGTTTTCCGCTTACCTTGCTAGCCATTCCTTCTCGGTGAATTCACTTAGACTTCATTGTCTACAGCGACTGCTTGCTATTGCTGTTCCCTCTGCCTGGAATTCTCTTCCCTCAGGAATCTGCACAGGCGCTTCCTCAGCAACTTGAAATCTTTGCTCATATTCCACTTTCTCCACGAAGCCTTTCTTCACTGCCCTCTTCAAAATTGCGTATTTGACCCTTCCCTATTTTGCTTTATTTCTTTTAGCACTTGTTACCATCTGACTTGCTGTGTAGTTTGTAAGTTTTTGTGTCTGTCTGCATCCACTAGAACAAAAGCTCCATGAAGGCAGGGGCTTTGTTTTGTTCACTGACTTGGCAAAGACACTCAACTCAAAGATAACAAGATTTCAGAAATTACAGGCAAGAGCATTTTTATCCAAACAGCTCAAATTAGTCCTAGTGGGTCCTATCTTTTATCAATAGGAAATATTCCTCTTTGTCCTTTTTATTACTTTTCTCCTTGTATCTGTTTTTTTTTTTTTCCCCTGAAACTAGTTTTGCTATTTTTATTTCTGTTAGCCTTTGTCTGGTTTATCTTTCTCTATCTCTTAGTTCAGCTGCCTTGTGACATTTTGTTTTTAAGTATGGGCTTGGTAAATAAAACATAGCTAGCTGCCTTTAACTTTGTAGCCAAACCCAGAGAGTCACTGATCTTTAATTGGTTATTTTAACCCATTTATATTTATTATGATTACCATACCTGTATTTGGAGTTATTCCTCTTGTCTTATTTTATTTTTCCCATTTGTTATACTTGCTATAATATTTTTTCCTTTCTTGCTTTTCATTGGTTTGTGCTCTTTAGTGTTGTTCTTGCTGCTTCCATTTTACCTCTCAAGTTGGCCATTGTACTTCAACACCTCTAGTTTAAATACAGATATTTTAACATTTGTATTTTCCTTAATATCTAAAATTTCTCTCTCTCTCCCCTTACCTCCCTCTCTCCCTTCTCTATTCTCTCCAGTCAAGAACCTTTGTATACTCTTTCTTTGCCTCTCCCGTTCCCCTACAACTTGCATTGTGGAGATCAGCTGGTACTTCTTTTTGGATTGTTATGAATCATTTTTATTATCAACATTTATTTAAATTTACCTCCAAGTTATAAGTATTGCTTTGCTCATCACTGTTTCAAGAAACAGTACTCATGTCTGTTTTCTTGGATTCCTTTTTGGTAACCATATTCTAATAACATTTTAGAGCGAGTTCAAGACTGGGGAACTTCTGAAGCCTTTCATTTCTCTTTATGGTTAAGTGGCATTTGACTGGGTATAGAATTCAAGGTTAAAGGTTCTTTCCCCTCAGAATTGTGAAGATGTTGGTCCATTGTCTCTTTGCATGCAGGGTTGTTGAAAAGATGTCAATGCCAATCTGATTCTTATTTCTTTTCGGAAATCTCTGTTTTCTAGATGTTTTTAGGATATTTTTTTCTTTGTTTTTATGAAATTTCATATCAGTGAGTTTAGGTACAGATATTTGTTTCATGTATTCTTTTCTCCCATTCAGCTATTTCAATCTGAAAACCCTTGTATTCATGTTCAAGGGTCATGATGTTGATAATATTTTTGATAATTAAAAAAATAATTTCTTTATCTCCAACATATCTATTCTTTCTTTGTGGAAATGGAAGTTCCAGAACTACCAATTCTATCCTTCAAATATTATAACTGTCAATACATGGTTCCTATCTCTTTGTCCCTTTGGTTCTGAGTTCTAGAAGAATTTTTAGCTTAAACTCCCAGCATAGTAATTTCCCTTCGAGTCATATACATTCTGCCTTATTGTTTACCTCTATATTGTTTTTTTGTAATTTTATTTTTCATTTCTAGGAAATGAAAAGATTGTTATTATCTTCTTTTAAAACATTGGTTTTTTTTTCTATCCCATTTTTTTAAATGTGTGTATTATTCTACTGATGAGTTTGGTGTCTTGCTTTCCTGGTACAGATTTTTATCATATGTTTGGTGATTCTTAGTGGTGAGCTCATCTCTGCCATTTCAGGGTGCCATTGTCTGTTTGAGCATGCCATTTCTATTTCCTGTGGCCCACCCTCGTGTCTGTCTATGGGGAGGGCACGGCATGTACTGTGGGCATGGTGTGCCTGTCTGCTAGGTGTGAGGCCCACTTTCTCTGTTGGGTTAGGGGTCCGGATACTGCCACTAATCCAAGCTGCTACTCTGCAGAAGTGTGTGCTACAACAGTGAATAGAAGGATGGAGCAGATTTACATTTTCCTTTGACTCATCTCTGAAGGAGAGGGTTATGAAGCAAATTAACTTATTAAGTTAAGATCCTCAGGAGAGAATCACTTTTTGATTGGCTTTAAAAATACAGTATATTCATATTTTATGCAAACTTGAATTCTGTGACTTTTAAATAAAGGTGAAACATAAAATACTAATAAAGTGTCACTTATACACAATATTTGAAGTGATATTTATTATCCCCATAAATTGCAAATCAATTTTTAAAGAATTATATAATATAGCAGGTCTGCAAAAGGAAACTGTAGCCTTCAGGAACACATTCTCAACAGTCCCTTTAAAAGTTACTCTGCTGGGTTAACACACTGTAGTTCTTGTTACTGTATGCAATTTAAGCTAAATAAAATTAATCACATTTCTTTCCAAAATTGTATATTTCAGAAGTCTCATTAATTTAGACTTATCTTTTCTTACTTAGTCCAAATCAGTGACATGATGCCATATGACTGTATAGGACTGCATGAATGGAGAGAAGTTATGAAGCTTTAATTTTAGATTATTGAAAATTAAGTACAAGAATCTTTGCAATTATTTAATAAATCTCCATTAGGAAATACTTCATCAGGCTGCCTGTTCTGAACTCAAGTTTTGCGGGGAAGTAGTATTTGAGGCAGGCCAGCGAGGAGATTAGCTGCTTCTCCCCATGGAGCCAAATCCCTAAGATAGGGGTTGCCACAATGGCCAAATGTCAACACCAGTGGGTCTCTGTGATGATGGACTAGTTCTGTATTTGATTGCAGTGGTGGTTACTCAACTCTACACATGTGATAAAATGGCATAGAAACATACACACACATTGTACCAATGTCAGTTTCCTGGTTTTGGTAATGTACTACAGTTATGCAAGATGTAACCATAGGGGAAAACCGGGCAAAGTGTATACAGGACCACTGCATACTCTCTGTGTGACTTCCTATAAATTTATAATTATTTCAAAATAAAGTATTAAGAAATATTCCCAGTTATAAAAAGTTTAGTGTTATTTGTTCTATGATGTTCTTCTATTCAGTGAGTTAGGTAATCTAAATTATTACATTAGTCCTCCCTCATAGGACTCAAAAACTAATTCCATTTGAAATTCAGTAAAATTTGCCAGCCAATAAAATTTTATTTTTTTCGAAGTTGGCTTTTAAGCAGAGAACACTGGTCACCACTGAATTATACACAAACTCATTGATTCCCACAGATCTGTTTAACTTCTGGCCACAATTACACTTCACCAGATGCATTGTTTATAAATATGTACTTAAACTTGGCTTCACTTCCTGCTACACTGAATTCCCTGATAACATTACATAACTGACCTTTGTGATTTTGCTATTATTCTTGAATTTAAACATTTAAGTATAATAATAATAATAATTATTATTATTGTAGAGATGTTGTCATGCTATGTTGCCCAGGCTGGTCTTGAATTCCTGGCCTCAAACTATCCTCCTGCCTCAGCCTCCCAAAGTGCTGGGATTACAGGC